AGAGCTCCAGCCGCACTTCAGGTACTTGACCTGCTCTTGATCTTGTATGCTTCCCAAGGCAAATGCATTTTGCTATAATAGAACACATCCATTCATCCAGATACTACGAAAGTTGAAATATTGTCTGAATTGTGGCAAAGGTCCCATCAAGATCAGAAGAAGGAACTAGCTGCCAGCCTCATCCTTTTGTGTGCTTTGCCAGGTCTGGATTGGCCCGAAGATTGCCCCAGCTCTTGAGTCACCTGTATGGCAGGCTGTGCTTGACCGACCCAGGCCCTGGCAGCAGGGGGGCAGCCCTGACCCCACGCAGCCCCCCTCACTGGCATGCAAGATCATTTCTGCACATTCTGCTACTTTGGTGAGTACATCATTCAATGCTGTCTAGATCTAGATCAGCAGAAAAGGGGAAGTAAGAACAAGACCAGTCATATTGGAAGATTCTCATAGGCTCTTGTCAAGTGCGAACTCTTTCAGAGATTTGCTTCAGCTGTATGAGGTCTCAATGGCAGCCAACATCTAGATGCTTAGTTGGGGCTACGAGGAACTTTACCTTGTCCATAGATCCATAGATGATCATATTCAGTTCTTCCTTTGTGGCCACAATATTCAGAATCTCCATCATTATTGCAATTGACACTCTCCTGGGACGCTGCACACCTGAAAATGTGGTTGCTGAATGCAAAGTTTTTGGGATTTAAGAGGCTAGAGATCAATGAAGTGCTCTTGATCATTCCATCATCTGCAGCTTTCTGGATATGCTGATGGCCTTCATACAGAGAGGCAAGCATATACGTGCCTACGTCACGTACGAAGGCAACGGGTGGTATGTCGAACGAGTAGAACACCATTATAGATCCACACACAATTGCCACCGTAAACACAGCGGCCCCCATGATCTCGCCCATGGCCATGGTGCCAGCGTCTTTATCCATGGCTCGGAAGGTCGAAACGACATCTGGGAATCCGTTGCCAAGTGCCAAGAGTGTTACACCCACGATGCTATCGCTCATACCCCACTTGGCCGCAATCGACGATAAGTTCGGGCAGAAAAAATCACTGGCTACAAGTCCCAACACGCTAAACAGCACGAGTAGCCAAAGCACGAACATGAGTGACACA